ATACGTCCTTTGATCGCTTGAAATCAAAACACCCATCCTTTTCAGGTTATTTCGAAACAGCAGCTCCGGCTTCGGGATATTTATTTTTCCTTTTGCCAACATAATCCCAAGGAAATACAAAACATCCAAAACTATTTCTGTCATGGTGATTAGCAGGGTAAGTCAATCACATAGATAGTTGTGCATATGATTTGTTTGGAGCCCTCAAATGACAATACAAAATAAATAAACAAAAAATCTGAGAAAATCACAGCAACTTCATACAGAAACTGAAACACATTTCGATGAGTTCATCTTGATTGTGAGAGGTTGTTTGTGGCTGATTGTCCCGAATGACAATTAACATCAGCATAGTGAAATGTAAAAACAGAAAGCAGATATAAAAAATAAGGTGCAGTAAAGAATTGATCACCTGAAAGCCATGCCCTTTTGTAATTCCAGTGACATCGACATACTGGCCTGGAACAAAATGGCGAACATCAATGGAAGTTCCAACTGGGAGAAGAGCATCCTCAGTCACTGGGAACTCCCTCAGCTTCCTTTTCATGGGGACACCTTGAGCTCTAAAATGTCCCACTTCAGGCTTCCTCAAATGCTTCTCCTTTTTTTGTCCACACCCGACCTAGCTACCGAACAGTAAATCTATAAAATAATAAAAAGAAAAAAGAAAAAAATTTGATGTAATTGGGTGGTAGTAGTTTAAGGGACCTGAAGCGCACAGAAGCCTTCCTTTTCAGGGATCTTGACTTGGGAGACGATGTTATCATCCAACCAAAGAATGGTGATGGGTATTCTGGCGCCCCACTTATCCCACAACGCCGTCATTCCACACTTAACGGCGATAGCACCGCTACGCTTGGAATCGCGGGTCATAACACCAGGCTTGGCTTCAATAACTCGGGAATCGTCTTCCTTTTCAGCCTCCGCACAGAACATTCTCAAGTGGGAGGTATTGTATAGAGCTGCCGGAGAAGGAGAAGGAGAGAGAGACCTCAAGAGAAACTGGTTGAGACGACGAACGAGACCTCTCGACGCGGCGGCCATGCCGTTGGCCGGTGGGCTAGAATATTGAGCAAAGGGTTTAATTATAATTTTGCGATTTGGGGGTTTGATTTTGGCAGTGACAATGAGAGTGAGAGGGAGGTGACAATAGGGTTTTAGGGCTGGGTAATGTTACTCTACTTCACACCCTCGTTTGCTCTGCGTGAAACCCACTTGTTATTTTCTCTCTGATAATCTTTTTTAGTTTTACTTTTTCCTCTACTCACATACACGTACGTGTTAATTAAAATAGAATAATATATATATATTAGGTCATCAAATTTCCAATTACAACTTACAAGCGTAGCTAGAATTAGTAAGTGTTGTTATATTTCATGAAATAATTCCAGAATCCTAATTCTGAAAGAGGACAATTGGTTGAATATCATTCTATTATATGGTTGTGAAAACATATTATAGAGCTCACTTTTTCACTTGTATAAATATATATACTGATCGATAATCACAAAAAGTCTGAATTAGATGATATTGTTCATTAATTAATATTAGTAGGAGTAAATAGCACATATGTGTGCAAGTGGTAGCTAGCTAGCAAGTCCAACAAAGAGACGAAGAAAATCAATTATTTAGCGATCGAGTACATAAAACAACATGTGTATATATATGTCTACACACAAACACACACACCAGCTTAAATGACCATCTCTACTACGTTACATAGTACATATATATATATATAAAACATCCATCCATATGTAAACATAAGTAGGCCGGTGTCGATCGTAGTTTCACAGCTCCTCATCATGAGTGGTGGTTAAAACATCGTCTTTAATAAGCTTGGCTGCTTCAATGTTTTCGGATATGGTGTCTTTAGCGGAGTCGTAAGTTCGTGCAGCCTTATCCTTGGCAGCTTCATAACCTTGCTTGGCCCAGCTCATATGCTCTTGTGCTTTCTCCTCCGTCTTCTCCATCCCCGCCTTTGCCGCTTCCTTAGTGTCCGTTGCTTTATCAGCCGTCTTGTCATACGCTTCCTCTGCCTTTTCAGCCGTCTTCTTCTTTGCTTCCGATGCTTTCTCTTTTGCCTCTCCTGTTGCTTTCTTCACATCAACACTCTTTTCCGATACATATTCTCCACCTAATTAATAATATTTCACTTCATTAATTAATTATCATCAATAATATAATAGAAATGACTTATTTAGTATTATATATACCATACATAATACGTACCTGCAGCAGCTGCGTCGGTGACCTTGTCTTTGCTTTTCTTGGCAGCATCATCAACAATATTCTGATTATGGTCTTCTTTAAAGCCAAGACCCTCAGAGATCTTGTCCTTGGCCCATCCTGTCCAAGTTGTTGATTCATCCTCTCCATCGCCCTCAATTACTTTGCTGCTGCTGCTGCTGGTTTCAGTGGTTCCCCCCGCATTGCAACCATTAATTACAAGAACGGCAACTAACATCATCACCAACCCCACACCCACACAATTAATTGAAATTGAAATTACCCTTTTCATGATTCTCATCGATAGATCAATTATTGATTGAGATTAATTACAGCTGCAAATAAAAGACGGCCACTATCACAACTAACGCTGCTGCTATCAACAGGAACACCCACATATGTGGCATCTATATTATGTGTATATGTATATTCTTGATTTAATTAGAGCTACCTCCTACGTCCTTATATATTATATTGTATCAGTACTGGTTCATATATCAAATTAATTTTGCAATCAAACTAGGATATCTAATATATCTATATATGTAGCGTGGCGGTGATTAATTAGTAATATTCTAGAGAGAGAGAGATATGAGGACGAGTGGCATCATTGCACAATACGTGGCCAACATGCACTGTATTCACCTCCACGATATAATTCTCCTCCCAACCATCCTACCTAGTCTTATCAATACTCCCAAATATCAAAAGAGTTTCCAATTGAAAGTGATTATGCGGTTTTTTTTGCTCATAATCTGTTTTTAGGTGTTTGCAAAATCAACTTTTGCTTTTGCTTCTCTTAAAATAATCTGCTTTAAGCTATTTTTTTAAAAGCACCCCTAACCCTGCTTTTTCAATTTTAGTTCATTTTCCAAAATATTTGCAAACACCCCCAACTTTTAGAAATAAGCACTTAAAACTAACTTAAATCACAATCACTAACTTCTGTTTGTAAATAATCATTTGCAAACACCACCTAATTATAGTCGTGTTTGGCTGTTTTAGAAAATTCCTTGCATCAATTTTTTTTAACTCATATTATTAGCAAATTATTATTATAAATTATAATAAAAGAAATTTAAAATAAAAAAATTCCTGTAATTTATTTCTTTAATTATTTATATGAATTTATTACTTATTAATTGAATTTAAAAAAGACGCTCGCGAACCGGATCACGAACAACTAAAAATGAACTCGGGTTCGACTCAGAAAGCTCAAACTCAAAAAAATTGAGTTCGAGCTTTTTTCGCTCAACTCATTTACACCCTAGTTTCGCATGTACAGTTCAACCTCGATAAATTAATAACCACGCTTAAATAATAAATTTTTTTCAGTCCCGACTTGGTAAAATCGTGTTAAATTATTATCTCAATATGGCTAAATCATGAGATATAGTCTATTTGCAAAAAATCCCTCATTTCTTGCAAAATTTATGTAATTTCTAAAAAATAGTGGATTTTTTTGTAATTGCACTTTACCTAAGGAAAGTGGTTGCAATTTATCCCATAAACATTTGTTATAAATAGCTGATTTAAGGAGGAAAAAAAGAAATAGAGCAAATATTTGTTACAATACTGCAAGTTCAAGTTGGCTTCGTTTATGGGCTCCCCCCTTAAGCTTCTGCCTGGGCCATCTCACTCCACAATAAGAGTAAATGAATATAAGAATACAATATTAATTTTTCGCTCAGAGTAACAAAGTTTCCTCTTTAATTGTTTACAATGATAATAGCATCCAAACCAATCAGCACAAGTGAATAAATGAAAATACGAAAAACCAAGAAAAATAAAAACAACAACAATTATATATATGCTTTACATAAAGTAGATACATATATG